AGCGCCGGTAGAGGTACGCCTTGCAATCCCAACTGAAGGCAAACCATTAGTATTGCGCGAATTTGCAATTGCTAACTTACAATCTCAGCACCCGACATTCGATTCGGAGCCGTATTCTTCAAGCTGGCACCACTTGGATCAAATTATGACATGATTTTAGGATCACCGTTCTTGACAAAATTTAAATTGGATATTTCGCTTCATCGTCGAGCTGTATTACACACAACAACTGGCAAGATCTTATATGAAAAAGAAATGAAATCTGAATTGAATAGGCTGCTTTGTGTGATTCAGAATTTGAATAAGATTGATGATGCCCAAGACCTGACCGAACGAGAGGCATCCTTTTTGAGAGAATTTGAAGATATGTTCCCGGCGGAACTACCACCTGTTGAAGATGGTGAGCCGCCGGATGAAGTGTTTCCCAATGGCTTGCCGGACGTGAAGCGTCACGCAAGGCATAGAATTGTCCTTACCGATCCAAATGTCATGATCAACGAAAAACAATACGGCTATCCATTGAAACACCGGGATGCTTGGCGTAAATTGATAGACCAGCATGTACGGGCAGGACGTCTTCGCAGATCCCACAGTCAGTATGGGTCCCCTTCGATGATTATTCCAAAGAAGGACCCAACAGAGTTGCCTAGATGGGTATGTGATTACCGAAAGTTGAATAAATTCACGGTCAAGGATCGCGCACCTCTCCCGAACGTTGATGAGTCCGTCAGATTAGTGGCAACCGGGAAGGTATGGTCCAGCATTGACCAAATCAATTCCTTCTTTCAAGATAGAATGCGGGAGGAGGACATCCCACTGACAGCAGTGAAGACTCCTTGGGGGTTGTATGAATGGGTTGTTATGCCTATGGGGTTGACTAACGGTCCAGCAACTCATCAGGCTAGAAATGAGGAGATTTTAGGAGAACTGATTGGAAAAATTTGTGTGGTTTATATTGACGATATTGTTATATTCTCGCAGACAGTCGAAGAACATGAAGAACATCTTCGACAAGTATTGGAAAAATTAAGAGCGGCTAAGCTGTACTGTTCAGTGAAGAAAAGTAAGCTGTTTCGAAGAAGCATTAAGTTCTTGGGTCACGAAATCAGTGAAGCCGGAGTGTGCCCAGATGATGAAAAGGTCGAAAAAATCTCAAAATGGCAATCTCCGTCCAACTCTAAACAGCTTCTCAAGTTCCTTGGAACCGTACAATGGATGAAGAAGTTCATCGATGGGCTTTCTCACTATGTAGGGACTCTCACACCTCTGACGAGCACATCCTTGAAAGGTAAACCATTCAAGTGGGGTGACACCGAGGAACGGGCATTCAATAACATCAAACGTCTGATTACTACGCTTCCGGTATTACGCAATTTGGATTATGACTCTAAGGAGCCGCTGTGGCTTTTCACCGATGCGAGCGGCAATGGCTTGGGAGCAGCCTTATTCCAAGGGACTGAGTGGGATACAGCATCACCAATAGCCTACGAGAGTCGCACAATGAATCCTGCTGAAAAAAATTACCCTGTTCATGAGCAAGAGCTTTTAGCGGTCATCAACGCGCTGAACAAATGGAAACTCCTGCTTTTAGGTATGAGAGTAAATGTGATGTCTGATCATCATTCACTCACTACCTTGCTAACTCAGCGTAACTTGAGCCGTCGACAAGCGAGATGGCTGGAGACCCTATCCCAATTCGACCTCGACTTCAAATATTTGCGAGGTCAAGATAACTCTGTTGCTGATGCTCTTTCCCGTCGTGATGACGTAGCCTTGTGTGAAGTGAGAGGAACATTAGCACCTGAAGAACTTAACTTAATCCACGACGGTTATCGACAAGACAAATTCTGCCTCAAGCTTCGCAAAGTTTTGCCGTTGCGAGAAGACTGCATCGTACAGGATGACTTGATGTACCTGGATGGACGATTAGTGGTACCAGATCACGGTGATCTGCGCCGCAACTTCATTTCACAAGCTCATAGCGCGCTAGGACACTTAGGCACGTTGAAGACGATGGCACGGTTACGAAGTAGCTTTTTCTGGCCAGGAATGACCAAAGAAGTTGAGACACAACTACGTGCCTGTGATTCATGTCAACGCAACAAGGCCAGAACGACCTCAACCACGGGCAAATTACAAACCCCGGAGGTACCTGCTAGTCCTATGGAGTCTATTGCGATTGATTTTGTCGGGCCCTTTCCAAAAGTATCAGGGTACGACATGCTGCTTACTTGTACGTGTCGACTGACAGGTTTTGTTCGCCTTATCCCAGCTTCTCAACGTGATACAGCCGAGCGCTCAGCGGCTAGACTATTCGCGGCTTGGTCATCAATATTCGGTCTCCCAACCTCCATCATTGGAGATAGGGACAAAGCTTGGACGTCGCGGTTTTGGAAGAGGCTGCATGAACTGTTGGGTGTTAAAGTCAACCTTTCAACGTCTTACCATCCTCAGGCTGACGGTCGAAGCGAGCGCTCGAACAAAACTATTGGTCAAATGCTGCGACACTATGCGGCTGAGAAACACGGGAAGTGGTTCCAATCCTTACCTTCTGCTGAATTTGCAATCAATTCGGCTGTGAACGCGGCAACAGGTATATCACCCTTTCAATTCGTATATGGACGTGTACCTCGACTGTTCCCAATCCAAAACCCATTGGAGGAGGACGGTGCCGACGTGAAGCACTGGATCGAAAGGCGGCAATCGGAGTGGGCTATGTGGAGAGACAAGTTGTGGTCTAACCGAGTAGAGCAAGCACTTCAATATAACCAAAGAAGAAGGGAAGGTAAACCATTTTCAGTTGGAGAATGGGTCATGGTCGACAGCACGGATCGACAACAGATTGTTGGAGGCAAGTTCAAAGGCACCAGCAAGCTTCGAGCACGGTACGACGGACCGTATGAGATCCTGGAAGTCTTAAACTCAGGTCGAGACTACCGACTTCAACTACCACCAAATGACCTCACTTATCCAGTCTTTCACATCTCTAAGCTGAAACTTTACCATTCGTCATTCAAGGACTCAAGTGAAGAAGACATTGTGACCACGAGTTTGGTCTCGTCACAACCGGAACAACCCCCAGGAGAGACTCGAGAGGAGCCCATGGGGCATGCTAGGAATTGTGACGAGGGGGTGTGCATTCAAGTTGATGCGCTAACACCCCCACAATGTGAGTGTGCTAATTTTTTCAGACCATGTTGTAAAGAAAATCTGGGCAAGCATTCCTCTCTCCCAAATAACAGTTTAACATCTCTCGCCAAACCTTCAAGCCGAACGGGATCAAAACAAAGTCTTGGTTCAATTGCACCCATCGAGTTGGGTTTGTCAATGCCGAAAACATCCCCGACAGGTCCTGAATTGGAGCCCTTGGGGCACGCTAGGTTAATTGACAAGGGGGTGTGCATCGTACAACGCAATAACACCCCCGCAATGTGAGTGCGATAATCAAAAAATTCTTCCATTACTTTTGTGAACGGCTGGCAAGCAAATTCCTTTTCTACAATACAGATTCTAACAATCACGCCGATACAAATGAAGCAACAAGTTCAAGACATCAAAGGAATCAAAGAAATTACATCAAGACGTCAAGATCGGGATCAAATTAAATTAAATGACGCAACAAATTACGTATCACCTCAAGACTTCAAGATAAGGAAATTACCTCAAGACTTCAAGATAATGAAATTACCTCAAGACTTCAAGATAATGATTAATGAACTTTCACTTTCTTTCAACAAATAAAATTCTCTTATATATCAGTTCAATTGGTTATGTTTCTTTTTTTTTGTTTCATACAACAAATTATTAATTCAAGATTCTTTTGGGGCGAGTTATGCCATTGGTGTGTTTTCTTTTGTGGTTTTTTTTCTCTTCTTTTAGTTTTATACAAAAATTTGGTTGAAGGATGGCGGAAGTTTTATTTTTAGAAAGGGGGGGTGTAAGGAGTACACGTGACATGTAGGCATGGGATTATACATTATGGGATTAGTTGGGGAACTCCTTACCTTTCATTCTCAATGCCCGGCTTTGAAAGATCCTCACTCCTCAGAGAGCCAACTGGGTGACCTTTCGGAGCTAGGTGAGATTCTCTTATTTCTCTCTTATCTCTTTCTCTCTGTTGTGTTGTTAGATGGTTGCTGACTCCTCAGAGAGCCAACTGGGTGACCTTTCGGAGCTAGATCGTAATTAAACCGAAGTTCCAAGTCCATCGCTCTCGTGAGAAGTCGTGCCGGACTAGTTTCCGGACTCCTCAGTGAAGGTTCTAATTGAACCTTACACAATCATCATCAAATCTTTTGGTTTGTAAAGTTTTGATGTTTAAATTTTATAACAATCTTTTCTGCTTCTCCTTTCGTTTCTCCAGCGATTCTCTCATCTTGACCCACCCATCCATCCTTTCGTTTCTCCAGTTATTCTCTCCACCCATCCAATTTTCCCTAGCACTGACAGGTTTCAGGCAGGGCACCATTTTGAGGTCTGATGAAAGCATTGACAGGAATCAAGCTTGTCTCAGTCTCATACTTACTTTTTTCCATAGAACTTCGCCCAGCACTGACAGGATTCAGGCTGGGTACCTTTCCGAAGTCTGTAGATAAGCATTGACAGGATTCAAGTTTATCTCAGTCTTATTTTCTCGTTACTTTCTAATCGCGCCTGTACCAACTTCCAGTTTAAACCTTCTAATTCCTTCCAATTTGTTCTCTTTCTTCTTTATTGGATCGATTCGGTCCTAACACCATTTCACTTACACATTTCTTACATTCCTATTCAATAGGAATGCCACCCTCTCGCAAGGACAACAACAAAAGCAAAGTCCGAGACTCTAAATGGCCATACGACCGACTTCAAGATAGTCAGTGATTTCTTCTGAAATTTCATTAATCTTTATAACTGTATCATTGATAACATGTTGGTCATGTGAAGAACCAAAACAACGAACCCCACATGTCGATGTCCAGTTCAAACCCAAGAAACCCGGTCATCAGTACAATAACAACTACATGAGAAGCTCTGTTTGTGATCAATACCTCCGCCAAACTTTGAACAACATTACTCCCGAAGTCATTGACTACGACATTGCAGTGGCATATTTCCTAGAAGAAACCAATCATCTTCCTATTGGCTGCATTCCTCAATCAGTCGACAAGATACTAGAAGATTTCGATACCCTCCCATCAATCACTGGTAGACAGAACGATCTCAAAGAATGTGCCTTACACATTAAATCTACCATCACTCTCTATCATTCAAAACCTGGTCCGATCCAACCTTTTGGTCTTAGGTACCCCACACTCAACGCTTTGGAGAAGCTTGTCTCAGAACGGTCCAAGTGTCTGCGCCTACTTCCCTCCGATAAAGCAATTGTCCTTGTTGATCTAGCCGGTCGAATGCTTGCCATGAATCTACCACCTAAATCCACCAATCCAGCAACCGAAAGCAGTGACAGCGACGGTGTCCATATGTCCAGTGAGGTTTGTCATGGTCTTGATGGTATTTTTAGCTTAGGGGTTTCAAGTTAACTGTTTGATATTGGTTCTAGAAACGTGCTTTGATGGCACTCGAAGGCGCTGCTCAAGTAAATGCACTCCCTCGTGTTCACATTGACGACGTTACGCAAGAGGCATACAACGCGCCCTCCGGTGATTTCATTCAACCCCGCTTTTCTAGAGCAAAGAACAAACCTGTGCAAATCCCAGGTGCTGTCTATGGCGCCCTACCTTATCAAGCTTTCGGCTACTCATTAGGATAGGTAAGAACCTCTTTCAAGCATCACCGATGATCAAAAATCTGATCTGTTTTATTCAATAGACCTTTGCTAGGGCCGACACTAAGATGCAGATGGGCTTGGAACGTCAAGGATACACTTTGGACGACATTGGAGAGGGACCTAAGTCCGATCAGCACTTGCCTCAGATCATTGGCCTTGGGGAAGGTTGTGTATTTCAAAGAATCGAGAATGCTCACATTCTCCCCGAACTCCTCTGGCCCTACAAAGTTTCAAGAGCTCTCAATGCCTCAGTCAATCCCGATACTTACTCAGCAGCCAAGAGAGTCACAAGGTTCATTGAAAACAACTCCAGTGCGCTGCTTTCCGAGCGTATCAAGGGTTTGCACAATGATGTAATTCAAGGTTAATAAAATGTTCTTTGTTGTGATACTTTTTATTGCAATACTGATTATATCAAATTTGACTAATCCCAAAACTTCAATTGTATAGGACAACAGATCAACTACAACCTTCAAATTGGAACTCATCGAGATATCAAGAATTCCAACCTGCTTGATTCTGTGTTCTTTTATGGACGTAACTATACTGGCGGCCGCCTGGATTTTGGCTCACTAGGAGTCAGTCTCTGCGCTGATCCCGGGTATTCTATTCATGCAAGGTTCAAACTGTTTGACCATGGAGTCAGCCCTATTTTACCAGGTGCCGATATCAACCTCCCGCCACTTCGGATTTCCCTTGCACTCTACGCTCACGCTGATACCTACTCTGGTCCAGCGAGAGTCTCTGCAGCTCGCAGAAATAACATAAATAATGCTCTTTTCAGCGATTCTGCAATGTGGCTTCCTTTTCCGCCGTCCAACTTTTCTATCAACACTTGTCGTAAGATCTTGCGAAAGGAAGAAGAGTCATGGAAGAAGAAGGGTTGAGGCTTTCCTCTGGGAAGCAGACAGGTCAAGCGCCGCGTTTTGGATTAACTTGGTATCCTTTCACTCCATATCGTATTGCTTGATATGACCAATGTATAGTTTCGGACTACCTTGTTTATTTCCACCCTGTTATGTTTCTTAGTTGTTCTTTTTGTGTGTTTTATGTATGTTACGTTTGTATGTTTGTTAGATCATCAAGCTTTGTCAGCTTGTTAATTCATTGTTATGAAATGATCATGTTTGTTTGAGTAAACTAGCTTGCAAAACGATCTCGTTCAGGTCATGACAGGTGCCTGAATTATTAGCACCTGACCAATCGAAATGAAGTTTGTCAAGTTAATAAACTTATTGAAGACTTACAGCCGTTTTCATGATTGATGAACACTTGAAGAAAACTTTTTGAATGTTTTGGCCTGTACCTGTTTACAATTTGCGCTGATCATTCAAAAAGTTTTTCTTCAAATGTTCATCAAGGACCCCACTCTTTATCGCCCGGTTAGGAAAACCCGTCGCCCCCTTACGGATAATTTTGGGTCGGACCTCGGGCGAAACCTACAATATAGCCCGGTTTCTCCAGGAAGCGGGCAACGTCGGTGATGGCACAATTTTAGTCTTACACGACTGGCCAAAAGGCTGGTAATTTGGAGTCATGCACACATTGCAGAGGAGGCAAGAGCTGCATATCATAATGGTGATACATTAACCAAAAGTGCATAGAAGGCATACAATAGTTGAACAAGACAGCACGTGTATAACAACATAGTCATAGTGAGCATAAGTTCAAAAGAGAACAACACAGGGTCATAGATACAGAAATAATGTAAGATAGCGTGTACAACCACACAGTGAGCATAAGTGTAAAGAGAAAGAACCCAGTATCAACTAAATAAGATACAGATAAAGATACAGAAATTACTGAGCTCGGGCAGCAAGCCACATATCCATCTGGCCTTTATACTTTGCAATCCAGTCTGGTACTCGGGTAGCGCTGATGGTTGGGGACTTCCCGTATAACTGAGGGAATGGAATTTTTGATGGACCCCCGGTTCCGAGACTCACAAAATGGTTGCCATTCACAAAAGCCAGGATAATTGGTTGCTTGTCGTTAGGCGGGGTGCGATACGGAAAAAAAGTACTGCAATTACTTTCCAGTGGGTCGAAGAGTACAACGGGACAGTCGTAAGTACTTGCAACAATGTAGCCCATGTAAGGCATGCGTAACCAGAACTCCAAAGTGCAAGTGCGGCCCTGGGGTTCAAGGCGAACCAGTAGATCCTCAATGACTTCGGTCGCATAAGGTTTGATAGCCCGTCTCGTCTTCATTCCAGTTTGCGATCTAGAAATGGAGAGGAGGCCCTCGTGCTCTGCCCTGTGGCCTACTAGTTCTTCAAGTAATTGACTACGAACTGATACATACGCGTCCTGAGTCTGATTATTGAGTGATGCGGCGATTGCACAATAACCACAGTTGCCATTTGCAGGTGGGTTGAAGATGGACTTGATGAAAGGCACGATGAAGCAAGGTAGTTGTTTGAGTATGAACTGTTCGTCAGGGGTTTTCAAGATGCTCTTGAAGCTCGCAGAAGACTTGGATGAAGCTGTGCCCCGCTGACTTCTTTTGGATGAAAGAGATCGCTTGGTCGATTGTTTCACATTAGCGTGGGTTTCAAATTCATCTGGAAGTGGAAAGACGGCGGCTCCAAAGGATCGACTAGCTTCCAGAGTGGCTCGTACTTTGGGATCACCTCGATTCAAGTTTAAATCTTCTGCAATTAAAGAGATACTGATTTCCGGAACGAGTACGTGTCGCAGAAACAATTGAACACTGAGTGGGGACGCCCTTGCGGCGTTAAGATGTGATTTAGAGGCTATGTCGTTAATGAATAGTTCCTCCAGTGTTTTAAGAATGATCGCATATCCCTCATATCCATAACTAGGACAAGAAACATGTGACTTCAGACACTATTGGATGATCAAGAAGGTACCAGGTGGAAAACTCACTATCCAGGTTGTTCAACCTCAAAATGATCCATTTGCGCATCAATTCGATTCATGTGGCTGTGTCCAATTAGCTTTTTGGCCGATTCAAGATCAGCGGACTTCTGGACTTTGCATATGATATTGCTCAGGACCATTGAATGTTTCTTGATGCGACTGTGAGACAAACAAACAGGGAGTTAGACAGAGTATTAACAAGATGGAGTGTAGAGTGGATACATACTCAGATAATCCACTGAAATCGATTGCTATTGGCCATCCCTTGCTGACACCAAGCGGTATGATGTCTGTCTCCACGTGATGCAAATGACAGAAGTCTGCTGTTTGCATGAACTGTGCTTCAAGCGTGACATATCAGTAAATTGATGCATACCAAAAAAAGATAGATCAGATACATACCGGAAGTGACATTGCTCCGGCACGGCCAATACCTTTTCGAATGTTAGGCATCTTCAGTAGGGTTTCCATGAGTTCAGTGAGCTTGATTGACGGTTCTTTAGGAAGAGGGTCGTCACAAAAAGGACAAAGGTTCTCATTCTCTTCAGATTCGTCTTCAGATGATGAGTCAGATGAATGTTGCGAGCTTGCACTGGAGTCACTGGAGTCTGATTTCTTCAGCGATTCTTCATCCGTGTCGTCAGCTAAGGAAACGCCCGTTGATTCTTTATCCACCTCGTCCAAAATGAAATCTTCTTCCATTTGAAAGAAATCATCCATCATTTGCACATCAGCGGCAGAGGTCGATGGTAATCCTTGAGCGGAAGTCGAAGAGCCAGAGCTGGAGGCAATAGGTAGGTTGGATGGATCCTCGTCTTGTTGATCTTTGGAGGTTTGAGAAGCACGAGATGGGCACATTGTGATTTTGTGACCACCGATTTTGCAGTAGCTGCATTTGCTAAGCCGAGGGGTTTTCTTCGCCTCGTCGATTTCGTGTTGAGACTTCCATCTACCTTGACTCCCCTCATTTCCTTGAGATTTCGTAGCTTTGGGTCGACCACGATTGTTGGTCTTCACATTAGCATTCAATATTGGTAAGAGCGTGTATCGATTGGTCTCAAGTAATCCAATTTCCACATAGAGCTTGCGCAAAGTTTGTTCAGGTAGTTCAATAATGCGGTCGAATCTTGATCTAGCAGCAGCTTGAAGTCCGACATGATTGGCTGGAGGGACCTCCATGAAAAGATGCCACTGCGTGTGCATGAAGTCCGTTGATAGGAAATCCATGTTGTCACGCGCAGTTGCCAGTTCATGAGAGCAGGGAAGGCCCCAGGCGCCTCTGAAAGTATGAGTGCAAGGCTTTTGGAGCGAATCAGGCAATAAGTTGTACTGTTCCTTCATTTTCTTGAGTGCGTAATGAGAGATGCGTCCATTCAGGTCTTTGAAGAATATAGGAAGACCTTCGAGTGTTTTAGTCTGCTCAACTCCAACTGATATAGTGATTTCGCTCATCTGGTGTTCTTCAAACCTTTTGAAAGAATTGAAACAAGTGACAAAGTCGTTATTGCGGCCATCGAGGAATCGTTTGGCCCTGAAGTGACTGCCTTCCACTCGAGATGTTGATGAGTTACCAAAATGAGGTGATTCAGAGGTAAACAGCGTGACAAACTTCTCCTTTCAATAAATCCAAGTGTTTTGCAAGTAATCAAAGACATCATGGGCTCTTGCTACTTTGGTAAGTTCTTCAAGATTTGAATCGTATTCAGCAGGTGTTGAGGAGGCGACATACAAGTTCCATAGTTTCATAAAGTCTGTCCATTCGGTATCGGTAAACTTGTTCTTACAGTTCTTGGCGACATTCTGGTTGATGTGCCACACACAGAGGATGTGGGTAGCTTCGGGAAAAACCGTTCCAATAGCATTGAACAGGGCCGGTTCAGCGTCCGTTGCGAAAGTCTGAGGCAGCTGAACCGTCGCGGAGGCATCCTCATTGTGAAATATGACGTCTTTGAGCTGGTTCAAGGCCCACTCATACTGGGGCTCCTTTTCGCTGCTCATGAAACACATCGCCACGGTGAATGATTTGTGAGTATTTGTCGTACCAACGATGTGTAAGAGTGGAAGGTTGAAACGGTTAGTTTTGTAAGTACAATCGAGAGCAAGAACCGTGGGGAATCGACGAGCCAGAGCAATGGCGGAAGGGCTAGCAAAGAAGAGGTTGAGCAACGTTCCCGTTTCCGAAGTTAAAGTGCGATGCGCCCAGTTGCTTGATGTAATCAAATCAAAAAGACCTTGAACAGGAGTCCGACCATTGAGCCAATTGGTTCTAGCACGACTTCGGACGTTGTGTATGTCACGAACTAGTGGTTGAGAGTTGGGATCAATCTTGAGAAGGGACCGAATTTGAGTTGCACGGCAGCCAGCAGAGGAAAATAGGTCAATTTGCTCGAGGTTTTCGGGAGAGAATCGTCGATAAATTGAGAGATCACTAGGTTTATCAAAGGGGTCATGGTTGTGTTTCGTTTTGCAGGTCTTCTTGAGGTCTTGAGTGACAATCCATCGGTCACGACGGGAATGATAATTTAGGGAGATCTCAAACATACAACCGGTCTTCTTTGAAGAGGATGATCGTTTCTTGGCTTGCGAAGGAACTTTGTGGCCGGCTTTCTTGTACCCAAGTGAGCATTGCAAATAAATTCTAACCGTTTGTTCTTTGTCGGATTTGTGACTCTTGATAGTGAAGGCATACCCTTGATGACGTGCAACGGCATACATGTATCCAGCAATTATCCGTCCGCACAGCAAGTATGGGCGTGACTGCCCGTCCTGGGGGACAACCTTTGATC